AAAAAAAAAAAGATTCTTAGCATGGTGACTCACCTGAGTAGACATTCAACAAATATTAGATCGCCTCCACCTTCCTTCTCCCATCATCCGTGATATAACACCTATTCACTATTCAGGATACTGAGTAGGCTGTTTTCCCCATTTGGAATGCCCTTTCTCTTTCTTCTCTGCCAAGCCAAATCCTATTAATCATTCTGAGTCCAGCCAAAGTGCCACATCTTTCCCAAATTTTTATCTGCTCTCTTTCATTTCAAAACTTCTGTAGTTCTTATCTTACAATAATGTTGAAATATATACTACATAATTTGCATAGAGACAACTTTGAAAAATTCAAATGAACTAAGAGAAATTGCACTAGCAGATACTTAAATACTTTATCAAAAATATAACAATTAGAACAATTTTATTCCCTCTAAGTGACAAACCATGAGGAAGAATGCATGCACTAAAAGTAGAATTTTAAATCAGTGAAGAAAGAAAAGTCTATTTTAAATTAATTAAATCAAATAAATACATGAAAAATACATAATACATAGCAAGACAATTGATCAACCAAAAAACTCCTATTTACAGATTCTCGCTTTTTATAAAAAATAAAACAAAGTTGATAGAGCAAAATAAATTCTCATATCAAAGTAGAAAATAATTTTTAAACATAAAAGCAACCACACAAAATTAAAAGTAAATATTAGTAACCTTGACCATGTAAAAATGAAAATCTTCTCAATGTCAAAATACCAACAGAGGCAAAGGAAACATCAGAAAATAATTTAAAATACATAACGCAATCATAGTTACTAATAGTTAATATACAGAGCTCTTTGCAAAGCAAAAAACAAAAGACGAATCCCATATTAGAAACATGGGCAGAAATGTAAAAGGCAATTCACAAGACATACAATTAAATATGTAAAAAAGCATTCGACTGCCTTATAATCAAAGGAATAAAAATTAAATCAACAACATAACTCTTTTCTTTGGTAAGTTGGGCTAAGATTAGAAGAAAAAAAAAACCACCCCAAATACCTAATGCTACAAAGGATGCAGGAAAGTTAACACTGGTAAGTTACAATTTGGTGAGATTGTGTTCCTTAGAGGAATAGTTGATGTAATGCATACAATCCTGTATGTTTAATAGAATTTGGCCCACTAATATCACTTCTAGGCATTTTCTCTAAAGAGATAATCACACAAACATTAAAAAAGAGAGAGATAATCAGACATATATAACCAGTATTTACAAACAAGGCTAATCATAGTGTTAATTAAAATAATTAATGAAATCCCTCAGAGTCCCATGATAGGGTACTAGTTAAATAAATTGCAGCATATCCACTTCTGATTTAAAATAGTAGAAATCTTATTCTTTTTTTTTATTTTTTTAATTTGTTTTTTATTAGATCATAATTGTGTACATTAATTCTCTCGTAGGATACAGTGTGTTACTTCTATATGCAGTTTGGAAAACTCTCATCCAAGTGGCTAACATAGCCATCATGTCTTTCTCATAATTG